ACAGTAACCAATACTGGGCATGCTTAAACTGAAGACAGCACCTAAAGAAAGTTCATGAATATTGCCTTCAAAACATGCTTTCTCACTTAACAACTTGTAAACTTGTAACTTATAAAGAATGTGAACTTGTTCCAGATCTGGTCATGCTTCTTCCATGGCTCTGCTCTGTCAAGATGACTCCAGTGAGATCTTAGCCCCATCTTCTCCTTCGTATGAGATATGTTTGGTCAGTATGAGACAGTACTCCCCTCAGGTCTTTTAAACCCAATATCATCTAGTGAAATTCAATTCATAGCAGCCCTCCATCATGCTCTCAAAAGTTGTATTTCTCTGTGGGAGGAGACTTTAGTTTTCCCTTGGAGAAGGGGAATTTGAACCACAGACTCTTCAACTAGGGTCAAAGCATGCAACACACTATACCAGTAGAGCTTTTAGTATCCTTCGAATCTCTGTTCAAAAGTCACCTCCTCATAGGGGCCCTCCAGACTACTGCCCTCCCGGTCACTGGTCAGTGTCACTCACATCACTGATGGAAAAGATATATTTTTTTTTTAAAGTCTATTTCCTCCCAGAAGAGGCAAGCAAGGATTTGTATTATTCCTTGTTCTTAGGCTAGTACCTGTACAAAGCAGAAACAAAAACTATTTTGGATTGAGATATTTTAAGAAAGCAATTTAACAGTTCACAAGGTGAACTTTTCCCTTCATCTTTTTCTGAAGCTTTAGCACTACCAACACCACCACCATCAAATTCACAGAACTAATATAACAATTTTATAGTACATTATAGTGCTCAGAAAGCATTTCTTTATTTGTCTTATTAAACGTGTTGTTTAGGAATTAGGAAACAACATCAAATTATTATTACCGAATATTCCCACTTTTATCAATGCAGACACTGAGCCTCAGAAAAGTCAAGAACTAGCTTAATTAGGTCCTACTCAGCAACAAGAATGCAAACCCTGATGTCTTTCATTCTCTCCATTACATCATGCCACTGCTCACGTCCAGAACATGAAAGACAGACATGCCTGGCACAAAAAAAAAGGTGCAGATGTGTAGTCACAGATGAGAATGCAAAGTTAGACAGACATACAAAATTAAAGGGCCCTGAAGTTTAAGGACAGGAGCTTTGTCTCACTAACTTTGGGCATGTTGCAAAGAAAGGCTATTCCTTGGAGAGGGATATTATGCTTGGAAAAGTGGGGGGATGGCAAAGGTGAGGTAGACCCTCAAGTGGGTGCTTTGACAATGATTGCAGCTGGCTGTTATGTGCCAGAGACTGTGCTGTCTGGCACCAGATAGGACAGGGTTCAAATCTGTTCTCAGGACCGTTATTAGTTGTACTTGACTCAACAGTACCTAATATGATTTGAGCTTTGGTGATCTAGTGGTAAGAAGCTGCACTGCAATTCCATAGGCAAGCAGTATGAATCCACTAGCTGCACTGCAGAAGAAAGATGGGCAATCGACTCCTGTTAAATTTATTGCCTCTCAAAACCTGCTGGAGGGTCAACTATGGGTCAGTTCTAACTACAGTACACAGAAACAACAACAATAACAACATGATTTGAACACACAGCAACATTAGCCCTGTTGTTGTTGTTTGTTAAGTGCTGTCGAGACATAGATGATTCATAGTGACCCTATGGTGGATTCCAAGCTTGTTTAATTGGGGAGCTCCACCAAACACTATTTACCAAAGGTAGCCATTATCTCATTTGACATATCAGTGTCACAGTGTTCTTAGTGTTTGTAAATTTAAACTCTTACATTCAAGGAATTAATATAATTTTGTTATTTTCATTTAAGAGCAAATATTGCGATAGCTTCTAAAATGAGTTCTGAAAATTGATATAAAATCTGTCTACCACTATAACTTTATTATGTCTACAGGAAAAATGAGAACTAGAGGCATTGATTTATTATATAAGCAAATGACATAAATAAGAGGTATAAAATGAATACAAGTGAAAAGTTCAAATATTTGCTGATCTTATTTATATTAACTGTTAAATAAAAAATATTCAAAGGTGGTTATCTCTGGTAATGAATCAAAAGAAGTTAAGAAATTTAAATATTTTTTAAATAAACAGACGGTATTCTGGGAAAAACAAATACATGAAGAAGAAATGTATAAATATAAGCAAATGTTACTTTGGGAGTTTTTTTAAATTAAATTTCTGAAAATGTCTCCTTTATAAGCGTAAATGAAATTTGGTTGCAGAACAGACATCATTTACTATAAATTTATTTAGACTTTTCTTTATGAATCACAAAGAATTATGAGATTTAATATGTAGTTTCACTAAAATTTAGACTTACTCATGTCTTAGATATTATCATCGATAAAAAAGAGAAAATAAACAGACAATAAAACCTTTAGTTTTCAAGGTTCCTTTCTAGAGACAAAATATATCAATACTGATTGTCATGTCTTTGGAAATAACTCTCAGAAGCAGTCTTTGAAATCTGTTCTTAGAAATAAAAATACACACTCATTCAGTTGGGTGATACACCTCAACAATGAAAAGTAAGGATCAACTATTGGAGGGGAAAAAAATCTCCATCGACATTTCATTCCTTGTTCTTTTAATCCCCACCCCCACCCCCCGATCCTTCCAATTAATGATCCAGATAGCTGTAACAGGTTAGAGCTCAACCTTCATCCGTGGTGCTAATTCATTTTGCATTAGAGAACTTAACTTAAAACCTTCAAAGCCTTCGTTTCAGAGACGAAAACAAAGATAAAAAGATGTTTTCATTTTTTCTTCTCAAAACAACATGGAAAATAAAACATAATCATGAAAATGAGTTTTCTATTGCTTTATCCAATCAAAAAAAAAAAGACTCCTTTCCACTTCTCACAGTCTGCACTTAGATATATCTTACACAGTTAACTACAGGCATCATCTGGCATTATTTATAACTAAATACCTTTAAAGGAGCTGTGGTGGCCAGTGGGTAATGAGTTGTGCTTGTGCTGCCACCCAAAGATAAGTGGTTCAAACCCACCAGCCAATCTGTGGGAGAAAGATGGGCAATCTCTTCCCATGTAATTTGCAGCCTCTGAAAACTGACTGCAGGGTCAGTTATAACTTAGTTCTAACTTACTGGCAATGAGGAATCATAATCGCAATAGTACTATATACTATAGTATAGTATAAGTATAGTATAAGTAAGAAAACTTATTATTAGAAACTCTTCACGAAATTTACTTGTTAATTTTATTCTCTATGTACCACATGTTTTAACTAATGTGTCATCTAAATTTACAGATATAGATGTGTTTATAAACCCTACTTAAAGCTTTTAGTGAGAAGAGGAAAGAGGCACTGAGAGGTAGGCTAAAAAGTTCATTATGACATTATCAAGGTTCAATTCTGGTTTCAAATCATATTTTGATCCTTAGGGTTTGAACTGAGAGTGATGAAAACAGCATTTAAATAATATACATACAGGCATGTGCATATATGCGTATGTATGTATATGTAATGATAACGAACTATTTCTTAGTATATTAATGACAAAATGTTTAGATATTCCATTTGTGCAACCAACAAAGCAGAAACATGCTATTTTTACTAATGATAAATGTAACTGGCTTTTCACATATTGACTGGGTATGTACTTATGTGTCAGGTACTACTACTGTTTTAGACATAGGAAACTTAAATGAGTAGGTCATGGCCACACTGAATATAGCAACAAAACCAGAAAATTAAAACAAGTAATCAAAAAAGAAAAAAAAAGTTCTAGACAACTAATTCAGATGCTGTTTTCACTACTTTTAGCTTTTAGATGGTGTAGAGTCAGTTCCAATTCACAGCAACCATATGCATATTACCTATTTTTCATCAGATCATTATACTGAGTGAACTAGCTCAGTCTCATAAGGACAAATACTATATGAGACCATTATTGTGAAATTGAAGGATAACTAGTAAAATATGTATGGGGGCTCATGACGGGAAGACGTGGGAGCAGAGGGGTAAGGATGGGCAAGGGAAAAATCATAGGGTCACTTTTTTAATTGTAGGTGGATGGAGGGAAGGAAGGAAATGGGGAAGATCTGGTGGGGATCTGGAAAGAGAAGGTAATAGCGGGCAAAGTTCAATGTGATTAATTTTAGAAAACATAATGAATGGGAATGACTGTATGAAACAATGTGAATGAAGGAGAGTGTCAAACATAATGCACATGAACTTTGTATGCAAATCAATATCAAATAAAAGCATTTCATTTTATATTTGAAAAGATACTATCTTTTAGTGGCTTTAAAAAAAACAATGACATCAAGTCTGATCAAAGACGAACACCATTAAATGAAAGCACCTTAGTTCTTACTGGTTTTTTTATCATTTCTATTTTTACATGAGTATTAAAGGAGAAAATGCAATTAAAAATTTTAGGAAAGCCTCCATCAATTATGACTATAATTTGAGTTATATAACTAAAAAGCCTTCATTTCCTCCTTAATTTCTATTGTTTATAAATTGAACAATTTTCTTCTTATTGTTAGCTAATATTTAACAACTCAATTCAACTCTATAATAGGAACAAAGAACAGAAACAAAGTATTGTTTTGTTCCAGAATACTGACTTTTCCTTCTACTTTATAATATAGTGAAAATATTTCCTCACTAGCCACTGATTATCTTTGGTTTCTCCTCTCTGTAGTAACCACTATCATTTATGTTGTTATAACAAATAAATTATAATGGTGAGGTGAAGTCTTCTAGGAAATTATTTATTCATTATATTACCTTACATTTTGTTAAATGTATCGTAAAAAATTATGCTCCTTTATAAACCAAGAGGCTCCAACAGTTCTATAAAATGGATAAATTATGCTTCCTAGATGATTGTACATATATGCTTAGGACTCGTGTTTTATTTAGAATACAAGAATGGTCATAGAGAAATCTATTTAACCACAAATCCAAAAAGATTAAGAGAAAAACCACACCAATCTGAGTTACATTATATTGAATCTTTTACCTAAAGAATGTGCTGCTGTGGTTTTGGAGCTGAAAAATCGGCCCAGCCCCAGATCGCCAAGTTTTACCACTCCCGTAGCTGTAATGAACACGTTAGCTGGCTTGATATCTGTGAACAAATGCAGAGATCAGGTGAAATCGCATGGAAAAACGAGCATCTTATAAAAGCATTAGAAACTATTTTTCATTGTGTAATTAAAAATGTTCCTTAAATAGGAAAGTAAGCTTGAACTTTGAATCAATACCTTGAGTAATTTGTATATATTCTAATACTTCAGAGTTTTTAGTCCTCTGATAAACAGATAATTATTATAGAAACATGATGAAGACCAATATTAACTTTAATTTAAAAGACATTTCAAATTTTCTGTTCTCCTTTTCTGAAACTTAACACACAAAATGAGTCTTGTCTTTTTAATATACATTTTCAAGAAAACATCTTGCTAAAAAATTTATTTATTGGCATATTTACCTAAAATGTAAAATTATTTAAATATCATGATTGTGTAGATAAGTACCTATTCAGGTGATTATATTAACCTTGTTGAAAGTATACTGAAATTTTCCACATTCCAAACACAATTCCTTCATGATGTAACCGATACTAAATTCTATTCTATTCTATGAAGAGGTAACGTTGAAAATTAAAAATTTAAGTGGTCCAAAAGAAGACCCAGGATAAGGTGGATTGGCATAGTGACTGGGATAATGGGGTTAGGTTTGCTGAAGGCAATGAGATTGGCCAGGATAGGGCAGGGTTCAGAGCTAGAGTGCATAGGGTCGCTGAGTCATAGGTGACTCGACGACATGCAACAAAATTACACACTGTTTATTCAAGGTGAGGAGGAAAACTATTCCTTATTTCTATTCAACTGTTTTTCTGCATCCTTTTCTCCTTTTTTGCATCTAATTCTTTATAAATAGTAAGGTGCTCAGAATACCCAAACAAAAAAAATTATTAGCTTTCATTCTTATTTACAACCATGTGGGTTTTACGAAAACATTTTTAGTTCCAGTGACATACTTTGGAAATAAATTACCTGAGAAAGCACGGCATTATGCAAAGATATTATGCATTTGTTCTTAAAACAGTCTCATAACTTGCATCATTTAACACAATGCAGAAAGTTCCTGATGTGTTCTCTTACCTCTGTGCATGACTCGCCGAGAATGCATATGTTCCAAGGCACTGCAGAGCTGGACAAAGTACTTCCAAACAGTTCTTTCAGGAATTAACCTCTTTTGTTTCTTAAAATGCTATTTAAGGGGGGGGGGGAGGAAATTACAAGAATGAGGATAACTAAAGCTTCTTAAGATTAGTCTGATATACAAAAACGATGTAGTCAGAAAAACTTTACATCTACTTAACAGGAAAGCATATCATTTTTTCCTGACAGAGTCTAGGAATTTTACCACTTAACAATGAATCATTGTTAAGGTCAATAATTTTTAAAAATAATCAGCATTGATGTAAAACAATTTCCCATGCAAAAGGAAAATGTCAAATTTGATTTTCAGAAAAGTCAGAATAAAGTGATTATATTTATTAAGATATTTTTCTGACAAAATTTCTCAAAATTGAACTCCTTTTAAATTTTAGGCCGTTTTGGTGCATTTAAAAATATGACTTAAAAATTAAGTAAAAGAAGTTATAGAGAAACACAGTATGGCACAGTAACAGTTAAGCCTGCACTTTGCTTTGAATTCATAAAACTATACTTTGTGGAAGAAAAATGCTACAGGATGGCAAAATGCTCATTAATACAGGTCATCACTTGCATAAGGGCACTAAAAAAACTAAATGAAAATCCAGAGGTTTATATTCACGTTTACATAAAATTTCCTAGACAACTAACTTATTTGAGACCAAAGCTCTTATTTCATATAATTTACAAAAATTCCTACAGTACCTAGTTTTCCCAATGCAAAAAACATGCAACTAGTTTCCTATTTAATATTTACAATGAAGGAGGGGAAACACCCCAGTTTATTTTTAAAAGTTTTCACAACAAAATGTCTATAATTGCAAGTAATTTGTTAAAAATAGATGCTATTTATAGTTATTAAAATTAAAAAAATACATACTAAATGCCTTTTATTGGAAAGCCTGCCATTTAAAGAAATCAGATTCTTTGTCAATAAAGACAACTGCAAAACAACTACTTATCATTTACTGCTTCTGTGACCAGTTGAGAGCAAGCTGAAAAGAAAAGCATTACTAGAAAATCTGCTGGCAGCCATACTTCATACTGAGCAAAAGATTCTCTTCTCTCTTAAACGGTCACTATTCCGAAGGATAATCTTTAAGAAAAAGCTAAGAACCTTAGGTTAATCTTTATTTAAAAGCATGCTATGTAAATGAATTTATTAAAAATTCTGGTGGCTGTTATACCATTACCATAACATGCCAAAGAACAAAAACAATTAGATGACCAGGTAATTAAGCAGCAAATCAGGATATCGTGAAAATGTTGAAAACCTCCCATATGATATTTCAATATTCAGTCTTTTTAATTGAAGACTGTGTCAACATCAGTTTTCATTCAACAAGGGCAATGCTGCAAAAATCAGTTCTTTACACATAATTTTCTTTCAGACTTGGAATGAGTCCAAATAAAGCCTGTATATGTGTTCTCCCCAATGCAGAATTAGCATATCAGAGGACTGTTTGATGTCAACAGGAAGATGGGGACCAGGTTTCTTTGCATTCAAAGATAAATATCCCATATCATGTAAGTATAACATCATGGAAAAAAAAGTATGTTTTAATATAAACTATGAAATTATTATGCTCATAATTAACAGTTTATTTTATAAATGAGCGGCTTATTCTTTTTAAGTCTCATTGCTAAAAAAAGAAAATGGAAAGGAGAAGATTGCCCTCAAAATGCACAGTTTGAAACATTTTATTAAACCAAGATGGTCTGATTATTTTCATGTATTTATATCCTTCCTTGGACTTCCCTCTTTACAACAGTGAACTAATGATGAGAATAGTGGACTAGAATCAATATAATCCTACGTAGATGGACTAACTTGGAAAAACCTAAGTATCCGAAATAGCAGCAGTCTTTTGAAAAAAAAAAAAAAAATCTTAATATTATTTTGGTTATAAAGAAAAGTGAAAGGCAATGTCATTATGTCATCAATATCTCCCCGTATGTTTTTAAGCATTGGTTTATCACATGAGGGTTTCAATCATTATCCAAGAATAGAGACTTTTTAAAAAATAACCACATAGTTCTGAAGAGAAAAATCTTTATGTTCTGATGGTGGCACTGTTGGCTATCTCTTTTAAAAAGAGGATGAATAGAAAAAAGAAATTCTTTTTACTATGGGGAAATTTTTTTTATTAACACCACAAAACAGAAACTTTTATAATCAACATATATATTAAAACAATCCCAAAAACTTTCTCTCGACATTTATTCTATCAAATACAAATCTTCTAAGTCAACTTTCTAAATATAAGGTGTTACTGCTCAAAAGTCCATTTTTTGCTTAATAAATAATATTCCTATATAAACATTCAGGTCTAACGTGTAAAGAAAAACAAAACTAATGCTAAGATACCAAAAAAAAAAATTAAGATTAAAACTTATGTGAAAAAATGAATAAATGTTAGGCTTGCTGTAAATATATTTCTCACAAGATAAGTTTTAAATAAAGGAATATATTATAAAAGTTATAATGAATGTAAAACACTTATGTAAAAAAAAATGGACATGTGCTAAGACATTTTCCCCATGTTATGAAAAAAGAAAGACAACTTGAAAATAAAATATCTAAAATTTTATGAATAGATAGAAAGTGGCATGAGTGAATGTACTCTTTAGCTAGTCTCTTTTTTTAAAAAAAGCAGCTCATTTTGAACTATTATTTTAAAAGAACATTTTCTAACTTCAACAATGTTGGTCAAAGAAATACTGAACATTAATCAAACTACACACACAATCGTTGTCATTAATTTACCCACAAAATATATAACACTATTGTTGTTGTTAGATGCCATCAAGTCAAGTACAACTCATAGCGACCCTATGAACAAATGATCTGAACCTAGTCCTGACCTGTGCCATCCTCACACTTCCTGACACACAAGAGCCCACTGGCGCAGTCACCATGTTAATCCACCTGGTTGAGGGTCTTCCTCTCCTTCACTGACCCTCTATTCTTCCAAAAATCATATCCCTCTCCAAAAAATCCTTGTCTCCAAGGAGCAGCCTGGCTTCACCTTCTCCAGGAAAAACTTGTTTGTTCTCTTAGGAGTCCACGGTATATTCAATACTACAGCTCAAAGGTATGAATTCTCCTTGTATCATCCTTAGTCATTGTCTAACATTCCGTTGCATAGCAAATAATTGCAAAGACCACAGCCTGTATCAGGTACACTTTAGTCTCCAGACTGACATCGTTGTTTTTCAGTACTTTAGAGAGGTCTCTGACAGCAGATTTTCCCAATGCAATTCATCTTTTAATTTCCTGGCTGCTGGTACCAAGAGTACTGATTGTGAAACCAAGCAAACTAAAGATGTTAACAATCTCAATCTCTTCATAACGCTGCAAATTGGCACAGTAGTGAGAATCTTTGTTTTCTTGATTTTGAGCTTCAATTCATATTGAAGGCTGCAGTCCTTGACCTTCTGCAAGCGCTTCAGGTCCTCCTAAGTTACAGCAAGTAGGGTTGTGTCATCTCCGTAACGTTGTTTGCTGATGAATCTTCCTCTAATACTGATGCCACATTTCTCCTCATACAGCACAACATCCTGGATAATCTGTTGTGCATATAGAATGAAAAGGTATGGGGGTAGGGCACATTTCTGGTGTACACCCTTCCCAATTTTGAACCATGCAGTGTTTCCTTCCTCTGTTCTAACGACTGCCTCCTGGTCCAAGTATAGGTTTCGCATAAACACAATCAAGTGTTCTGGGATTCCCATTCTTCTCAGAGTTGGCCACAGTTTGTTGTGATCCACACAGTCAAATACCTTTGCATAATCAATGAAACACAGACATTTCCCTGGTACTCTTCCCTTTCAGCCAAGATCCATCTAATATTAGGTATAATATCCCTAGTACAACGGCCTCTTCTAATCCCAGCCTGGACTTCTGGCAGTTCTCTGCTGCTGCTAAGTCGAATATAGTTTACATTATTTCTTAATTTTGCCAAATCTACCATTCTTCCTCAAGAAATCTTAGATACTTCTGAAACTATTGCTTTGAGTTAATTGTTAAATAACCAGGGGGTGGAGGAGAAGTCAACTGTGAGCATCACATATTTTTACCCAGGGTTGAAGAGATAATTTCAGGGATATATATATATATATATGTGTGTGTGTGTGTGTGTGTGTAGTTTAATAATAAGTAACAATGAGTTTACGTTGCTTCTTCTTGTTATGTACCATCGAGCTGGAACCAACCCATAGCTGACCCTGCAGTGGGTTGTCAAAGGCAGTAAAAGGCGAGGGAGGAGACTGCCCATCTTCCTCCCACGGAGCAGTGGGTGGATTTGAAACATGTGCCTTTGGATTGGCAACACAGCTCCTTACCATTAGGAGGGAATAAAATCAGAAAAAGAGGGTAAGAATGGCTGTATGATTTAAAAATCAACTGAATGTCACTTAACGGTACATGCAGGAACTGCTGATTGGCCTGTTTTCTGCATATACTCTAAACAAGAAGTAAATAATAATTTAAAAATATCTAAAACAACTAAATTCTGAGGAAGAATCTCAGTTAAACTACCCAGCATAAACTTATTTCTAGAGAAAGAACAGAAATTAATCTGCTGCTCTATTAAAAAAGTTATCTCCATATACGAAAATATTTAAGCACATCAGATGGCACAATAATCTTTAAAGATAAAGGTTCTGATAAGAGATTGGGAAATATCAAGATACAACTTGTGCATTTATATAAAGTCCTGCACTCAGGCTAGTGTTTTGTTGTTGTCATCTTTAATTTCTTAATAATTTCTGAACAAGATGTTCTGAAAATTATGTAGCTGGTCCGCAGTACCATATGCCAAGAGTCCTTCAGAAATATACTGCTGTACTTAAAAGCAAATGAGATCTTGGTGTGCAAGACATTCTAATACATTCTGATTATCACAACCAGAGAGATCTGTGGGGTACTTAAAGAGGGTCAGGAGCAATGATAATTAAATAATGAGAAATAATGAAGTTATAAGAGAACTAGAATTTCAGGCACCAGCTGTTCTCCATCTCTTCCAAGTACTATCTAACAACAGGAAGTAA